ACAGGGCGTTAGGTCAAACCGTGTGCGGCTTATAGGGCCCCATCCTTCAATATCGCCGCAGAGGGGCTGGTGACGGGCAAGAACCGAAGGTAACGCGGAGCTGACGTTGCCGGAGGACGACAAAGCGGTAAGGACCGCCTGGTGGAATCCATTCTGAGCCATTTTCTGGTCAATGGGCGGCAGACCTGAAATGGAGATTGCCAGTGGTGAGCTGTTCCATCCGCCAATACGGAGAGAAGAGGACAGAACTAAAAGGGGATGCGGGGATGTAGTTATGTAGACGACATTGTATACCTGGCTTCCAAGCAAAGCTCTGACCCCACGCAGTCGCCCGCTTACTCAAGCAGCTTGCAGTCGCCCAGTCCAGGCTAGGCCGAAAGGGGACTAGCGAGAACTGTCAAACACGAGACCGGGAGCTTGAGCCCAATGCCGGAAGCCGAATCGTGGTGCATTCATCCGGTCAATCGGACTGTCAACTCTCAATTATCGATCATTAAATTATGAAGAACTGGAATTCAAGTGTTTTATTTTGCTATTTCACTCTACTGTAGTTGAGTCTCAATATATGGAGTGGTTGAAACCTGACTAGAACAAGTTTCCTTACGTCCCGAGAACAATTCATCTGAAGAGTGATCCTGTGACTGAGTATGGACTTTTGTCAATCTTGCCTAGAGTTCCCTCCCGATTGACAGGTCCAATTATTTCCAAGCACCAAAGGCCGGGTTGCGAATATGACAATAAAGTACTCTGTGGGGAATTACGAGGTGTGACTCCCACAGATGAAAAGCCGACCTGGCGCCCAAGCGGTTCCTAACAACGCTGATTATTCGCGAATCCTCTCTGCGCCATCCAATAACCATGACTCACTATGACTAAGATCCTGGGGTTGTCCTTGGGCACACTGCATGCAATCATGATGCAGCAATTAACAATAATATTCTCCACACACAAGAATCGACATCTCCTTTGGGCATGTTTTTCATGGTGAGTTCCAATCCTGCCTGGATGCTTGCAAGCCGTGCACTGACGGGGCTGAACAAGGCGGTGACGCCGTGGCGATTGCGCTAACCTAAATCAGACTAGCGCACAGTCACGGTTCCCCTCGTATTGTTGGACGGTTTAAAGATACATGATATAAAACTGCAACCTTGCGAAAAGTAGACCTTCAATATGCGAAAAAGTGATATCTAGGACATTGCGAAACGCCATTCCTGCACAATAGCAGGGAGAGGAGAATCTCTAGTATGGCAGCAGCGGATACCCACAAGGTAGAGGACCTGCTGAAACGACCTTTATACGGTAAGTAGAGCTTCCACTTTCTGCAGTTCCTTCGGAAGCAGGGGAAAGAAACTAATGAGGTTACCCATTCTCACTTTTTATCCGTACAGTATTTGATCTCCCTGAAGAGCTACTTGCCTCTCTATCACTTAAGAATACCAGCGTACAAACCCCCATTCCACTCATACAGACCGAACGCCCCAAGTCACTGCAAGCAGAGAAGGAGGTTGGAGTCGCAAGCGTTACGTCATGCTCGCTTTGCCAGGCCTCGTTCCAGAACGTCCAGGAGCAGAAGGAGCACGTAAAATCAGACCACCACAGATATAACTTGAAATCGCGATTACGAGGGACCCCGGTGTTAAATGAAGCCGAGTTCCATGAGGCTATTGGAGAACTGGACGAATCTATATCTGGCTCTGAATCTTCCTCCGACGACGATGAGGGAGACGAGGGCCAAAGGACTCCTGATACCACACTCACAGCTCTCCTGAAAAAGCAAGCCAAAATATCCTCTGTTGCGGAAGCCGCGGAGATGGTAGATAAGAAAGTCAATAGATCGCAGAAACATCCATTGCTGTGGTTTTACAGCTCGTTGCTGCCTCCCAGTACGTCCTTTGGTGTTTATCGAGCGCTCTTCAGCAATATAGAACTGGAGGAACCGGACCATTTTGTGGAATCCCTGAAGAACAAGCAACATAAGGCATCGCCACATTGGACAAACAAAGCTTCCCAGGCGGATCAACCAGACACCCAACCAAAACAACATCCCAGTCCGCATCTGTTCCTTTGTATGATTGGAGGAGGCCATTTTGCCGCCATGATAGTGGCATTAGCGCCAGAGATACGTAAAACCATTGGTGGGATTGAAGAGCGGCAGGCAAGAGTAATTGCCCATAAAACATTCCATCGATACACAACTAGGCGGAAACAAGGTGGAGCTCAATCTACCTCCGATGCTGCAAATGGCGCCGCACAGTCTGCAGGTGCATCGATCCGACGATACAATGAAGCCGCGCTGCAAAATGAAATAAGACAGTTACTGGGGAGTTGGAAGGAAATGATCGACCAAGCACAGCTATTATTCGTGAGGGCGACGGGAAGCACGAATCGGAGAATTTTGTTTGGGCCGTATGACGGACAAGTGATCAAACAGTCTGATCCGAGACTTCGAGGATTTCCGTTCACCACCCGACGAGCCACGCAGAGAGAACTAACGAGAGCCTTCACCGAATTAACACGAGTGAAAGTTAGCCACGTCGACGAGGCAGCACTGGCACTCAAGGCTGAAAGACAGCGCGAGCCATTGTCCAGCTCGCCTAAACCACCTCCACAAAGCCAACGGCAAAATCCTACAATCTCCAAAGAAGAAGAAACAGCACTACTCCATACCACACAGATCCAAGCACTAATCCGCCGCTCCAAGGCTCCCGCACTAATATCCTACATCTCAAATAACTCCATCCCCCCAACCTTCACTTTCCCCCCCTCCTCCTCCCAACATACCCACCACACCCCCACCCCCCTCCACCTAGCAGCTAGATCCAACTCCCCTGCAACCGTTCTCGCCCTCCTCACAAAAGCAAACATGGACCCCACCCAGCTCAACGGCGAAGGAAAGCCCCCCTTCGACCTAGCCGGCGACAGACCCACCCGCGACGCCTTCCGCGTCGCCCGCCACGAGCTTGGCGAGTCAAAATGGGACTGGGACGCCGCTCACGTTCCACCGCCGATATCCAAGGCGGAGGCGGACGGTCGGACGGAGCGGGAGAGGCAGGCAGCTGCGGAGGTGGAGGCGAACAGGCGGGAGGTGGAGTCGGAGCGGCTGAAGAGAGAGGATGCGGAGAGGGCGGTGGAGGAGGGGAGGAGGAGGAGGAGGAGGATGGGAATGGGAACGGGCGGTCGGGGGCTTTTAGAGAAGACGGGGGCGGAGAAGAGGGAGGAGGAGCTGAGGGGAATGACGCCGGATATGAGGGCGAGGCTTGAGAGGGAGCGGAGGGCTAGGGCGGCAGAGGAGCGGATCCGGAGGATGCAGGCGGAGAGGGAGCTATGAGTGGTAGATTCTTTCTTGGTTGTTGTTTTCTACTTGTAAATTCTCTCGATGCAGAATATTTCTTTGGTTGGAACCGCCTGGTCATCTTCCGGACAATGCGTATTGTGAAAGACGCAAATTAGAAGCGGAATTTGCGGAATTAATTTCCTGGAGAATCTACATCTGTGGCAGACCCATGCTGTGATGATCGATCATTTACTGGCTCACAGTGGTTGTGGATTGAGGTATCCCACGCCTGTCGGTGAGGAGCAATTCTCTTGCTCCAAAGTAACTCCTAAAACTCCATCATGGCTCACAAGATAGTGTCCTGTCTCTGTATTAAGAGATGGATCATTTATTGTTCTCCCACCAGAAAGGTGAAGAGTCCATTGCTGCCGAGTTTCACCGACGCTTCGCGGTCCCTCTAACGCATGGCCAAGACAAGATTCTGGCGGATATTAGATGCCGCAACAAAAAGGGTACAAAGGTGAAGGTTGAGAAGAGTTTTAATTTTTTTTACCAAAAAATAAAATAAAATATAAATATAAATAAACCCACACACGATGAGGCTGAGGCAAGTAACTGCCCTATCAGCATTTCCGGTTGACTTCTCCTCTCCAGGGGAGAGAGGGCTGCCGATGACAATTATCCATTGTCGTTGCATTGGAAGGAAGGGAGTGAGGAAATGCAGGTAAAATGTCACTGGCAACTGATGCCACAGGCTGACACGGTAGGATTCGCAGTCCACTAACTAGTGGAGAAGTCGGAGATAGCTCCCGTTCTTTAACACCTGAGCTCCATTAGCATGATCTTGGGCTCTGCTAAAAGTCTGCATTCTTCTGTATAAACACAGGAGACAGAAACTCATTTGGTTGCAAAACGTGAAACCAGACAGCGTACGGGTTTGATCATATGAATATGGCGAGCAATTTTGGAAAGGATGCAGTTCCCATGGGCAAAGTTGCCGTCAGCTCTCACTAAGAAAATACCAAGTTTGCGCGTGTTCACCACAGGGCACTCAACTGCTCTGCAATGTCAAACTTCTGCAGAGCCTTGAAATGGATCTTCAACATTCCTAGGTTATATTTTCACGCTTCAGCATCCACGAAATATTTTCAAATGATACATTTTTCAGTTGGTGTTGGCTCTTAATAACGATGATGGGGTGGACCTTGTGTTTGAGGTTAGAGTTGGTTTATATTGAGAATGATGGCAAAGAAGATGAACACTTTGCTCTATCTAGACAGAGACACAAACCTAAGTACCTCCGACATTAGAAATATAACTATAAAAATGGATGATTGAAGACAGAACCCAATTCAGAACACACATGGATCATGAGTTTATTCTTTGTGTGTTTCAATGATTATGTGTGTAGTTGCGGTTGTGATGATGAGTCTGTGTTTGTATGTAATTAGTTATAGAGGACTTCTTGAGCCTCATCTGTCATCCTATCTATATCTGATTTCCCACAACTTCCATGTCAGAAATGCCTTCACATATCAAACTCGCCATTTGCCATCATCTCGACAGAATGAAGGCTGCCTCCTTGTAGCTTCATCTAGGCCTGTGCATCTTATATACCTCCCCATCCTCTCTTTTTATCTGACATCCTGCTTTTGTTTCATCACCCATGAAACTCCTTGCTGTGTGAACTGCCAACCAAGCCTGTTCCTCCTTCTCAACAGCAGGGATGGCCACATCCAGTGCGCAGCAGACCCCCTTTTTCTCCAACTCAGCAAACCATGTGGGAATCTTGCACGTGTGGAACTCCTCAGGGGGCGGAGCTGGAAGTACGTTAACTCCTAATTCATCCTGGATGGTCTAGTTATAGATGAGATGTCCACTAACAATGAGGCCAACGCACAGGCGTCAACGTCTACTCTGATCAGGAGATCATAATTGGCCGCAGCAACAAGTTATGGTGCGCCCAGAACATCAAACGAACGGATAAGTTTCGCGTGGAGGAGACTTGGTGTTTACTGACAAGTCGACGCGACTGGGGTATCTAGTAACTTGGCACTTGAAGGAGACCTGGGTGTCTCCAACAAGCATATCCGCATCTACGTTATCATCTTTGACCAGGGGAATCCAGGAGAGGTGGGGCCCCTCGTATACGCCCAAGACATGTCTAGAAACGGGACCCGGTGGAATGGGGTGCATATCAAGAAAGAAGACGCTGGCGTACTGCTAAGTGATGGAGATAGGTTGGGATTGACCCCAAACACGATTATCACGTTCCAGACCTGGACAGAGAGGCAGCGTGATATTCCATTTAGTGAGGTGCAGAAAAAGGAGATGCAGGTTTGGCTGCCCTCATTCTACTCCCCGTTTACCATTATATCCAGTAAAAGATAATATGAGTAAGGAAAACAGCTGACTGGCCAAATCTAGCACTTTGAAAGGAGGTACAGAATCACAAATAGACTCCTTGGCTGCGGTGCATATGGAAGAGTCCATATGGCCATAAGCACAAAGCATAGGAAGCAGCTAGCTTGCAAAATCATTGATATTGGTAGCCTGAAGAGACGGCTAAGCCAAATTGAAGTTGAGAAACGTACTGAATTGCACGTTCCGCGCCCTGCTGCGGATGTCGATGCCTGGCAGGAGATCGAGAAAATCAAAGATTGGGCTGAACGACGAAATGAGACTAGCTACGTCAAGTCAAAGCTTCAAGTTTATAAGCGGGAGGTGGAGATCTTGAAGGATCTATTCCACGTATGAAAACCCCTGATCCTATATAATTGCTTTGATTAAGACGCTTATCACGCAACAGCCAAATATCATATGCCTCGAGAAAGTGTTCCTGAGCACGAACACCATGTAAGCTAATTCTCCCAAAACCTCTACACCAAAACGCGCGGTTAGACTATTGATCCATGACACACAGCTACATCTTTCAAGAACTGGTCACCGCAGGAGACCTATTCTCGTTCCTGGAGTTTAAACAATTTAACCTATCCGATCTCGAGGCCGCGGTAATAGTGCGTCAAATCGCCTTGGCGATACGTTATCTCCATAGAAACAACGTTGTTCATCGCGACATCAAACCAGATAATGTCTTGATGACGTCGCTTTCTGATGGTGCACGCGTCGTCTTGACGGATTTTGGCTGTGCTCGACGTCTCGAAAACGAGAGTAGTCGCATGAAGACTTCGATGGGGACACTGGAATATACAGCTCCGTAAGTGATGGCTGGCGGGAGCACATAACCAAGATGGGGTGCTCGTACTGACTGCCCCCTGAATTTCAGTGAGGTCCCAAGATCGACATCTCCTGGTCGTGGAATTGGGTACACTAAAGCTGTCGACATGTGGTCCCTGGGTTGTCTCACTGTGGTCCTCTTAACTGGGGGGTCACCCTTCACACATCCAGAGACGGGAAAATACAGCGAAGATATGGCACTAAACTGCGATCTGAGCACCCTCGAAAAGGAGGAAGACTGGCAGCACGTCGGACGACGCGCCAAAGACTTCGTTCGCAACCTCCTCATTCTAGACGACAACGCTCGGATGACAGCGCACGACGCTGTTTCGCACGCGTGGTTCACAAGCCCCACCTACAAGGAGGAATTCGAGAAACTCTACCGGCGGGCGGTGAAGGACTGGCATCCCCGCCTTTCCATGAAACACCAGGTCGTATCTGACGAGAACATCGAGGACGGTATATGCACAAAACTCACGCATTGGCGAAAGGTACCCGAAACGCCCATGGAGTGGCCATATAAACCGTATCCGAATAAGATTCATCGGATTCTTTACCCAGGGAAGCAGCCTGGAAAAGATATATTGGCGCGCAGGGATGAGAAGAAGGAGAAGAGAATTTATCCGTGGAGGAATGACGACGGGCCACACGAGCGTGCTGGATCGCCAACATTTTCGGATATAGAGAAGCAGGACGTTCGTCGAATGCCGTTACCCTCTGATGTGGAGGAAGGTGAGAATGATAATGCAGACACGGCTGAGAAAGTAGAGGCGGAGTCGATCGACTCATCCAAGCCAGAAAGTTCCATTGAGCCAGCACAGATAAATGATAGTGATAATGATCACGGCGAAGAAATGCATGACCCCCGCATCCGCATCCGCATGCCCTTCAGCCCGGACGCGTGGAATGGAGAACAAAAAGTCCGCGAACAGCAATACCAGCTTCCGGACCCCCTGCCAATCCCGCCAGCGCACGTACCGATGGCACTTCCCTACATGCCTCAATCACCCTCCTCCGCCTTCAGCCTCAATCAGCTCAATCTTGCACCCCATGAAATACTAGTCCTCAGTCCCGCAGGTAATACAAATAACGAGAACGGCCACGATGGGATCACACAGCCCCTATCAGGAATGATCAAGAGTAAAGCTCAAGCAGGCGCTGGTGTGGACGAGGAATTTGTGGATCTCGCGCAACGGATTCAGTTGCTGGATGCTTACAATCGGAGCCACGACGATGCCATTTGCGATATCAAGAATACTAGCAATCACAATCATAATCGCCACGGCGGCATTGGCAATGGGGGTGGAATTTTATCGCCATCACCGGTGGCCCCGATGAGGCGGAAACGCGACATCTATGATTTCCAGGGAGACGATGAGGTGTTTGAGGAGATTGTGGATAGGATTACTGGGAGGAAGCGGCGGGTCCCGTATGGGAGGGAGCCCCACGCGTTTTGAACTGGAGATAGGTGGGGGAGGCACGGGGTATGCTGTGGGATCTCTTGACGTTTGACATATTGATCGGGTAATGTGAACTCTTCATGGACGGTAGTTGCTACATGAGAGGACCGAAGGCCGGGGAGATCCGGCATGGAGGTCTGCTTGGGATTGTGAGATATTAGATGGGATGGATATGGTGGATTGTGACGGTCGCGTTATTTTCTTTTTCTTTGCCTGTTTCACCCTGCTCGCGTGTTGCTTCATGTTGTCTTGTTTTTTTGCTCTCCATTCCTTTTACCAGGAACTAAAGGCTAGAAAAAAAAAAGGGGGGGGGTTGGGGGGGGGGTAAGTTGGGGAAGAGTGGATTTTTTGATGTTGGGGCGTTTGAAGTTTGAGAAGAGGGTTAAACGATAATGACAGGAATATGGTATACGGGGGGTATCATTTGCGTGTAGGTAGATGTTTGATGTGGATTGCTTTGTAATGTTAACACCAATGGAAACATTTACCACGGCATCATGAAACCAACGTTAATTCGGGAAGCGTGAATGAGCCCGAAATTGAAATGCATGAACCGAGAACGCTACAAGGCAATTGTGAAATGTATTGGAGGTTGGGCATGTCGAGAGGAAGTGGGAGGCGAAGAGAACGAGAGTGAGTAGTTGACAAATCCGTCGGACTGTTTCCCTGCTTGTTACCAGACACAGCGAGGAATGGGCAAGTTCTTTTACGTCATATAGTTTTCCTTTCGCTGCCTGGTTCCTCATAATGTCTATTTATCAGGGGTAGATGTTGACGTAGGATATGATGGGTCCACCCGACAGAGCCAAAGTGAGAAACGATAGAAGCTCTTCAACCAGTGGCTAGCGCCCTGGATCCGCAATTCTTCGAAATTCCCACACACCACGTCCTGTCACGACCTGCCCTCCCGCTTACACGAGCAACGGGGGTATCCAAAAGCACCATAGGGGAGAACTGAGGTTCAAGGCAGGATTGGACTAGCACAACATGAAAAAGGTGTGTTTCACTAAGAAAAGTGCAAAGGTGAGGAAGGAGAAGGTATAATTCAATATATATATATATATATATATATATATATATTTATATATATATAATAAAATAAAAACAAAAACAAGGAAGAATTCACGTGGGGGATGTGTGGGTGTGGGTGTGGGTGTGGGTGTGGGTATGGGTGTATCCATCCCCACCCGCTCAATTCTGGTATGGAAGGAGGAGGCATGCGGATGAGATCGGGTCGGACCTCTCTGATAATCTCGCTCATCAGCAACGCAGCTCATATTTCACGAACGCAAATCATGAAGAAAGCGGTTCCAGCCCCCGGGGATATAGCCAACTTGTGAATATGTCGTCTGGAATCCTCGCATGCTGCGTTAAACGCACCGAGGCAGTGCACCTGAGGGGGAACCCAACATGTTTTTGGTTGTTTGGTAGGGTTGGTAGGTTTTTGGTTTTGAAGGGGAGAGGAGAGAAAGGGTCGGTGGGATTATGCAAGATATGCAAGGTGCTTTTTCAGTCCAAGCTATGCTTCTGCTGGCAAACCTATGCAATGTTTCTGTTCCGTTCCGTGCCGTGCACATGTTTGGCCACCACTCTGCTTGTTCCTTCATTGCCCGGGCAAAGAGGGGTTGTTCTCAGAGAACGGAAGCGGAATAAAGTGGATCCCTATTATGACGTATACAACGTATCTGAAATAAACCCCCCGGCCCCTCCCTCAATACCTCCCTGAGAAAAAAAAGAAGCCCCTTTGATTTCAGGAAACCCTCTCCCCAAAGCGTGCACTCATTCATATGCGTCGTTTCGTTCGTTTGTTCCCTTTTCACCGAAGCGGAGTCACATGCTCGCCAAAGCCCTCACTAAAAAAAATGCGGCTGAACTAACTCTGGCGCACGGGCCAACAACAACAATACGCGAAACCGTCACGCCAACACGCGCTAAGACACGCAGCGACGCGCGTCGTGCCTTCAGACGTGTTTTCCACAACTTGGGGAGAAAAAGGTATATATTATGTATATATCCTTGTATGATCGTTGATTTGAACAATGAAGCAGTGGGGAGGTGAGGAGGAGCGAAGAGGAGTGTAGAAATGAAAAGAGGTGAAATGAGGGCAAGAAGTTGATTGATTAACTGACGATGGCTGCTGGATGAGCAGACACGAATTTGAATGTAATATTGAAACGGTATGATCCTTTAACTACTTAAAATGATGAATGGCTGGTGTTGGCCAAAAAAAAAAAAAAAAAAAAAAAAAAAAAAAAAAAAATTAATACTGAGATATTAATCTTCTTCCCTCCTGCAATCCCACGGATGGACTCCTTGCACGGAGTGGTCATTCTGCTTCAAGTACAGTAAGTGCCCGGGGGCTGTCCTTCATGTGGCTGTGTCTCTCTCCATGGGTTCACTCAGGGATGTGACAGGGGCTCTTCCGTTGACCCTGGATGGTGATCCCCAGTGGGAAATTTCCTTCATGAAACAAAAGCGTGTTATCAGGGGATCCCTGTCTCCCCCATTATTTGAATATCATACATTCAATCCAATGCTTAAATAAAAATTTCCGGGGGGGGGGGGGGGGAAAGAAGTTAGTTATTGTATTATTGTTTGACCACGTAGATCAACAGCGTGCCTAATCAGCATTGTTCGTTCCCCAGACGGAGTTTTGATATCGATAACATGGTTATCGATTATTGACTGCCTGCTAGTTCCAGTTTCGAATCGTCTGAAGATTTCGAGGCACCCACTTGGCGGTCTTTTGGGCGTGGGACAGAGCCATTCGAGCCGTAGAGCCATAGAGCGCGCTGCTGATCGTTGCCTCCAATCTCTGCTTCTCTCTCCCCTTGTGACCAAATCCCCCAGCGAATCAACGCTAGAATTGATCGTAGCCTGGGATACAGGAATATTTGTAAATGCGGGGGCCTCCTACAACCCCGTGCGCAAAAAGATATTCGAACTTTCTGATAGGAGGTCTGGAGCTGGGAGGGAGAGCTAATTGGGGCTTAAACCCAGAAGTCGAGTGAGCACCGCAGTTGCAGTGTTGCAAAGGAGCATGTTATACTAGTCGTCTTTAATCGGGAGGCTGAACCCAACTACTTCTTCGTTCTGGCACGCTATGAAGATTGCAAGTCGGCTCTTTTCTTTTCTTTTCTTTTCTTTTCTCTTTTTCTTTCTTTTCTTTTTTCTTTCTTTTCTTTTCTTTTTTCTTTTTTTCATTTCTTTTTTCCTCTTTTCTTTGTCTTTGCGCCCCAGGGTACAGAGTATTTGTGACCGTTTGGCCACTAAACCCTCTGAACCAGTGCCTGGCATGAGTGGGGGGGGGGGGGGCTTTTGGGA